TTACTCAATCTACAGCTTCAATTAAGTATCCCTTTAAATAAGATTGTTGAATATCTAGGGAAAGATATTCAATAAAGTATATCTATAAAGTAAGTTATATTAATACAGATCAATACATTAGAACAATTCTACATAATTTTTGTTTTTTTACTGGAATACGGTACGTTTCTTAACCTATACTGTAAATTATTTTTATCAAAGCTTCACTGAACCGCGAAATTGATGATGTATTGATCTTTGATACTGATAGCATGACTCTTCAGTCGACAATAGAATTTTGAACCTAAAAATTTTTGTTTTGTTTATAACACTGAATTATATAAGAAGTCTTGGATGATGAGGTAAAAATGTTTTTTTTCACACATTATTTTTTAACAGTAAATGTTGATTTCTATGATGAAGCCGAAGATCGAAAGTTGATCGAAAGTACACGTGGTCTTCAAATTATACATGTATGCAGTAACGTTGCATTGTGTTGTGTAGTCTGCTCGCTCTCCTGCTCATTATAATTTTGCATTGTGAACAGGAATAAACATATTTAATAACAATTCTAATTCAGTGAAGCTGTAATAAATTATAAAAGAGTAAAATTGCGAATTTCAGTTAATGCACACCAATTGACTGGACACATGTGCAGTCATGTATTAATGAGGTCACAGCTAAGACTTGTATCTAATAATTGTCATTTCATTTAAAGGAATTCGAAATATTCCCTTGTTTTAAGTATTATTTTCTTGTTTTTTTTTTGCTTCTGATTTTATTTATGTTAATAATGTCCCAGATTTCATTTTTGAAGATTTTGAAGATATCAATGACCTTATCTTTCTTGTCAGACATATAATATGCTTTATAGATGGAACAGAAAATTATAGTTAATAGATAGTTCATATCAAAATAAGCTTCATCATCAATTTTATAGCCAGTTACTAAACTTTCAAGACTAAGTATATGCTTATCAATTTTTAAAAATGCTAATAGCTGGTCAACTTTTTGCCAATAATGAACATTATATGACGAGGAAAAAAAGAAGTGTTTATAATCATAATGTTGCTTACAATAGAAGCACAAACCACTTGGTACTATTTTCCATTTATAAAGTAATTCTTTACAGGCTAATATATAATGTATTATTTTCCATTTAAACATTTTAAATTTGTTGTTTTCAAGGTAGTTAAAAATAAAGTTAAATGTGGACTTCAATTTTGTAGTCATTTTTTTATGAAGAATTCTTTCCCACATTAAAACTCCTGTCGGTTTATCATGTGTAAATTGACTTTGCAAGAAAGTATATACTTCTTTGTTACTCATATCTGGTGAAATTTCATGTTTTAGTAGTATATTTAACTTCACTGATGTTTTTATATTGACAACAGTTTTGTAAGAGCTTTCTTGTTTTAAAATATTTTGCCAGTGCTTTGGTATAGCTTTTTAAACTAATGAGCATTCTCTAATCCAATCTTGTTTATTCTTTAAATTTTTGGTACAGTTTCTGATGAGATGTATCCGTTTGCATCTAATATATTATTGGTGTACAAAATATTACTATTAATCCAGTTTTGAAAGAACAGACATTTCCCATTTTCTTTGATAAGATGATTTCCCCATATAAGTTGTTTTCTAACCAGAAGAAAGTTTCTTGGTATGATTGTTTGACCTCCTTTTATTTCTACCCATGTTTTAATTAATTGTTTATAGAATTCAGGTAAAGATTTATAATCTATTTTATTAAGCAAATTAACATTTGTTAAATTCATTCTGAATAAAAGAAAATCTTTCCCAAATTTATCAAGAATTCAAAGGTGAATTAATTTTAAATAATGGGTTAAGTAATGCAAAAGGGGTGGCTATATGGATAAAAAGCAGATTAAACTACAAGCTTATTGACCAATATAAAGACTCAGAAGGTAGATTCATACTAGTTAATATAGAAATAGATGACAATATATACACCTTAGTGAACCTATATGCACCTAATAATTGTAAAACAAGAAATACTTTTTTTAAATCAGTAAAACAATTAATTGAAGATCATAGTATTGGCCAGTTAATAATTGGAGGTGACTTCAATGACATATTATCTATAAAAGATACCAAGAAAAAATTAGGAAATAAAAAAATTTGATAAACCAGTTCATAACCTAAAGACATTGATTAAGAATCTAAAACTAACCGATATCTGGAGAGGCAAAAACATAAATAAAACCCAATTTACCTGGAGAAGAAAAAACTTATCAGAATCTAAAAGAATTGATTACTTTTTAGTAAGTGATGAAGTTAATAAAAATTGCATTTCATGCGATATAAGACCAATAGTTCTACAACACACTGATCATTACGCCGTTTCATTAAAAATCAACATAAATAGAAACTCAAAAGGGCGAGGTTATTGGAAATTAAACAGTAGCATCCTAGATGATAAACGCATCAATATTTTGAATAAAAAGAGGACATGCTGGCACACTAAATTGATAAGGACAAAATTTTGTAGTCATTGTGTTCCAATATTGCTGTAATTTGTATTATACAATCCATCCTGACATAAAAAAAATAACTGATTTATTATGCGGCCATATAAATTTACATAATAAATGCAAATATGGTCAGTTTTGGTTGATACGGTTAAATAATTTTGTTATACTAGCCAGCCTGAGGTATCAAAACTTCTGAACTTTTTGATACGCATTACTATTTTGAATAAAAAGGGGACATGTTGGCACTCTTGATTGTACTTCATTTTCATATGATGAAGATATAATCTTTCAATCGGTTTAATTGAGGTCTGGAGCTGGCATGTCAGTAACTGCTAGTAGTTCTTTGTTAATATATGTATCATTGTCATTTTGCTTAGTTTCTTTTGTTACCTATTCTGACATCGGACTCGGACTTCTTTTAAACTTAGTTTCTCCGTGCGTTTTGCTATGTGTTTTTTTATTCTACATTGGCTAGAGGTATAGGGGGAGGGTTAAGATCTCACAAAACATGTTTAATTCCGCCGCATTTTTGCGCCTGTCCCAAGTCAGGAGCCTCTGGCCTTTGTTAGTCTTATATGTTTTTTAATTTTAGTTCATTTATATGTTTTGGAGTTTAGTGTGACGTCCATTTTCACTGAACTAGTACACAATTTTATTAAGGGGCCAGCTGAGGACCACCTCCGGGTGCAGGATTTTCTCGCTGCGTTGAAGACCCATTGGTGGCCTTCGGCTGTTGTCTGCTCTTTTGTCGGGTTGTTGTCTCTTTGACATATTCCCCATTTCCATTCTCAATTTTACTCTAAATTGATGCGAACAAAATTTTGTAGTCAGTGTGTTCCTATATTGCTGTCATTTGTATCATACAATCCATCCTGACATAAAAAAAATTAAAATTACTGATTTATCATGATGCTATACCTTTAGTAAACATAATAAAGTGCAAACATGGTCAATTTTAGTTGATGTGGTCACACAATATAGTTAAACAAGCCAGTCTAAGATATGAAAACTGCTGATTTTTAATGATTCAATTATCTGGCACTGTTAATTGATGCAGAAAAAAAACAGAATATTGTGGGCACTCTGAATTATGACCGAACATAATTTTGATATATATTAGTAACTGACCACCAATATTGCTTACATTTATCATGATTAATATATACAATGTATGTACTATGCGTTATCGTCATTGTTTATCGATTTTATCTGATAACCAAGTTTTTATAAGATTAAATATGCTACACGTATATATACGACTTAAAGATTTTGATATTTATTGAAATATATATTCAATGAACGTTAGCAGTGTAACCAATATAGTTTTCACTTCATAAAAAAGGCAGAAAACGGAGAAATCATGTGTATAACAAAGCAAAGTTTTATGCGTACTTTATTCACAAATGTATTTAATCTGTATTGTTTATATCAAGATACAAAGACATTTAAAAAATTGTATGAATCGACGTAGAGAGGTCCTGGTTACAGGTTAACTTAGCGTTGAGCAGACCAGCCATAATTTAACTTAAGATCAGGTCTGGTTTGATCGGAGTTGTCAAAATTAAAGTTAACTTATTGCAGGACTGGTATTGAAGTTAACTTATAATAGTAGCGGACTTGTATCAAAGTTCCTAGGACCAAGTCCGCTTTTCAAGTTAACTTGGTTGTGGTCCAAAGACTGGTCAGAGCAGTCCTAAATGCTGTCACCGATTAACTTTGACCAGTCAAAATGTCTGGTTAGCAAGTTAACTTGCTGTACAGGTTAGGAATACACCCATCTGTAGACATACGAGTGACCGAAATTATCGGAAATCCAGATAAGAGAACCAACTGAGTAAGTTGTTACCCTGTCATTTTCTAAAGCTGCAGGACATACTATTGCCTTGAACTATTTTTCTAAGAAATCTTTCGACCAAAACCCTTCATACTTCATTAAAAGTTAGGCCTATTCAAACCTAAAGGCACGTTTTGAACGCTTACTATCTGTGGACGATACCAAACGGAAATTCAAATCTTGTCAATAGTCAAAAATAACTATTGGCCTAATGTAGCCGAGTAAGGCTTAGTGAACTTTACTCCTTTGAAGCGATGCTCCAACACTTAAGTGAATTGTATTGTAGATACATTGCATTTTGAGACAGTTTGTATTTCTGTATACCCACTGATATACTGTTACTAATCAGTGCAACTCCACATGAAAATAAAGCGGTATACTCATACATAACAACAAATTTTAAAAAATTACATGTCCATGTAAACAGAAAACGTTAAGAACTATACACTGCACAATGTTGTAATGTTATGACACTGAACCATGTAAACTATGGTGCTTTGTATACAGTGGATAGGGATTAGTGTATATCGTAAAATCCGGAATGGTGTGAATGGTATGAAGCATTTGTTTGGATGAAATTGTAGTTCATTTCTTATCAATTTAATCTACAAATGTGTCATTATGACGTATTAGACAACACAAATATATTATACAGATTGTTTTGTGTTCTCAGTTATATGTTTATGTGTTAACAGATAACCTTACACCATATGGAACAGCTACGCAGAGTTCTGATTACGAAGAAAGTCTACCACAAAATGCTATACACCCACCTATATCAAATGACTTTAGTAAGACTACATGTTCCCATACAGACATTAGTAGTAAACCAGCTTGGTGGATGTTTCAATTTTCTTTCGGTTCTGCATACATCACAGATATAACAATATACTACAGAGCAGCCTGTAAGTATACACAATACCATGATATGATTTTGATCGATACACTCTTTTAAATTGTATTCTTGCTATACAAGCTATGCCGAACTAAAGGAGAAGCTATTTTCCTATAAAGTATATTCCTATCCAACATTTTTGTTTTGTTACAAATGACTTTCTTATGAAACAAAGTCGAATATAAACAGAAATCTTTCTGTTTGGATGTTTTGCCATTATTTAGATATGGTTGTTTAACTTATAACAGGGTATAGAGAGCTCGCTAGTAATACAAACGTGCAAAAAAATGTGTATTGTAAGAAAGGGGTAGGCCTTGTACAATCCCTGTTTGGCCCCCAAATATAGCATGTTTACAAATTTGTTAAAAATGTAATCTTTTTTCTATCTTTTTGAAAGTAGAATACTTTTGTTGTATAAATATGGGCTGTTTTTGACAATACAGTGCATATGCATCAGGTACTATGATTATTATTAATTCATGCAAAATTACCGAAATTTTTACAATTTTTGCATTTAGGCTAATTTTAAGACGGTTTTCGTTTAAAACGGAAGTGGCCGCACTTGTGTTCAGTCTTAAAATTTTAATATATGTTGTCTTTGATAATACTACATAACATATACAAAGGTTGACACTGAACACGAATGAGGCAACTTACATTTTAGACAAAACAGACAGACTGACAGACTTTTCATATTCAAGCTTGAATGTGAGCGTCTTTAATGGCCAAATCAGTTCAAATATTTTACATACACTAATTGAATCGACTGAAGTAGACACTTGTGTGTTTAAAAAAGTCAAAAATCTTTCATCAGATGCAGTTCTAATTTTAGGCCAAATTTAGCCCTTCCGGTACCTTCTCCTTTCTGTTATGCAATGTCATCAGTAGCAAATTGTTTACAGCGGGACATTAAACATCCATTTTTGCGTTAACAGGTATATCCCATATAATTGTATGTACACACTTAAATGTTTGAACTTAAGAATTTCAATCAGTGATTTAGTATTTTAAAATACAATACAGTGATCAGAACGAGTATAGGGGGGGGGGGGGGGGGGGGGCTAATACGACATTGATATAACCAATGTATTTAAACAATCAAGTTAATGTATCGCAATCGATCAATACTTTCAAATCAAAACTTTTTGCAAAGGGGAAGCAAAAGATACCAATGGGACATTCAAACTCTTAAGCCGAAAATAAACTGATAACGCCTTGGCAAAATAAAACGGAAAAAGACAAAAAGACAAACAAAATTTACTACAGAATGAGCAACACAAGCCCATAAAACCAATTATACCTTTGTTGGCCATGCATATACTATAATAATACCAATGTTTCCGTCGACAGTTTTGTTTTTTTCGTAGAACACCGTATCACTGACGGACCAATCGAATGGTTTAGTGTCTTGAAATGTACTAATACAAAAATACCTACGTTATTTTGATTGCAAACATATTGTTTTCATTTCCACATCTGACATCAATGTGTATTCTAGGCGGGATTATCGCTACAACAAAATAAAGCTTCGTTGTGTTGATTGCATAATGTTGAATTACATCTTCAGCAAATCAATTACAAATCCTTGAATATAATGCAAAATAAGTTTTTGAAAAAACTAAACTACTGTTTATTCTTATCAAGATCAATATTAAATATAGACATGGACCTTATACAGCTATATTTTTGTCTTATATCAACATTGTCGTTCATTGTAAAATGTTGAAAACAATTGTTAAAAAGAGAGAGAAAAAGAACAATTTGTGAACTAAGAAATTCTATACGACTAGTTATTGTAACGTTATTACCTACTATTCCTACATACATTACAACATATATGTTTCACCTGCGTGACCTGTGGTAGCCACAACCTCCTCCTTCTTTGTTTTTTTTTTACGATTTCATTGAGTAAATCTAATATCCAATTCATACTTATCACGCAAAACATTTATTTTGAAAACTGTTGACGGTGTGTCATTTAGGAAAAAGCTGTTTGGTATACAAAACAAAAATACATGTGTAATTACTGGACACATCAAACTATATTTAAATAACTCGACAGGTAAAGATAAATGATCAGGGGAAATAATACACAACGACTGCATATCAATTCCCATAAAAGTGTGAAATATGAAGTACAAATGAGATACCAAAAAGAGATGTTCACTCAAAATAAATACGTCGTAAAATTATCAAGTAACATATTGACAGAAAATCGACAAAATATAGTTTTCCTTAAACATTAATGTTCTATGTCGGTGCATGTTCCCCTTTGGACAAAATAGACTACATTCACCATTAAGAGTTGTTACTTGTATTCGAATGCACGTATGTTGTCGTCTTGGCATCTCTTTTCCTGTTTTTAAAAACTAACATAGCATTTTTATGGAGTTGTTGTATGTGTGACCGAAAGTGCAATATTTTCTAGGAATACATAATTTCCTGAAGGTATAAAATAAGGTCAACTGAAAAGTGATATAAAACAAAACTTAATTGCATATAAATCAGCGATTAGAAATCGTTTTTATATAAAGTACATAGCCTTAATACAGATTTAAGATTTCAAATGTTTTTGTCGAAACCTGAATCTCCAGAATGGCTAATACCTTGACACCCGAATTCGTCATGCCATAGATAATTACGTTTATTTTTTTCGTTTTTAATATATGTTGTTTTTATCTGTTTTTGACTTTTTTTAAAGAGGGGGGGGGGGGGGGGGGGGTAGGGTCAAAATGCTTTTCATTTGAAGGGCATGTATATTAGACGAATAGTGAATAATAAAGTTTATTGTTTTCCTACAAAGAACGCTAGCAAACACATGCAAATATATAATTGTATAGTGATTTGTGTCTGCAATAAATGATTGCTTATGCTTCCATCTCAACGTTATATTTTACTTCTTTTCATTGAGAAAAATTCAGAATTACTTTTTAATGTACATTCTACTCACATCATTTCAAATATGTTTGTATCGAAGAAAAAATAGATTCATAGCTCCCGTTTTGACACAAATATATATTTGAACGTACACAAATGTATGCGTGTAAATCGGAATTAGCGAATGGCATAATCTTGAATGATATCAGGATGTTGTATAATACTGTTCTTATTTTCATTTTGTAAAAACCATTTTATGCGGCATTTTAAAACGCTTTTTTATGTCCATGTTTATACGGTGATTCAGTTTTTAATATTTTTTGTTTTTTGGTGTTATTTTCTAGTTCGGGAATTAAAATGGTCGTCATACGGGATAACATAACACTAACACGTTTATCTGCATATATTATATTAGTTTTTCACAGAACAAGAAGCGTGTAAAACTCATTAAAAAGTCAATGCATTATTGTGTTGTGATGCGAGGTGAACTGCAGATGCCCTATTCGAGGATACTGATAATTATGAAACACAGTCGTTACTGTAAAATGTTGTTGGTTTCTTATTCATTACAGATGCTTATCGTATGGATGGATTTAAATTATATGTGACCAATACATCAACTATTCCACCTGACGGCTATCTCTGTTACGAAGATCCTGATCCAGGTCTTCCCAGCACTACTCAGACAATACCCTGTAATCAACTTGGACAATACGTCATTTATTACGATAAAAAAGGCGATCATCAATTCGGACCAATAATTGAATTATGCTATGTTGCCATCACAGGTTGGTTTAATATTACTGTGCATAGTATTTTCTTTTTCCCTTGAACATATTTGACCCTAAGTCGTTTCGTCATTGAATTCTTTTTTTTTAAAGTATTTTTTATTTCGTGCTAGAAATACTTTGACCTATTATATTAATGAATATCATGAATTTAGTTGAACGTTTAATGTTCTAACATGGTAGAATGTATAATATACATAACATTTGTTTTACATGCACACGTATAAAAATTGCGGTTTGTATCCAACGCAATCATAGGTTTGAACGTTGTTTTCAATTTAGATTTATTTATATTTTTTCGTTTGGGCTTGTATTATATTTTCCTTCGGGTTTATATGATCCGTTCATCCTATTTCGACTCTTTAAAATTCAAGAGTCTTTCATAAATTGAGGTAAATTATATGGCCTTCTAAATACCGTTTCGGTCCCTAACATCACTGAAAAGACATTAGTTGTCGAAATCCGGATATGGTGTACAAATTTGTGCACCTCATGTTTAGGATATACCATCTTTTCCGCAAGTTTATTGTTTTCTGTTTGGTATTAAATAAATGATTAAGATCTATGTTACATCTGGTGATCAATTTATTTGACAATCGCCAATGGCAGTCAGCAGGGTTTAAGAACATCAGTTGTTCGACCTGTTAGTCAAATGCGTTTTGTTAAAATATACTTTTCACTTTTGGTCTTTTGAAAAATGTTGTTTGTGCTGTAATTTGACCCCTCTACCAAGAAATTTGTTTTACATGCACACGTATAAAATTGCGGTTTTTATCAAACGCAATCATGGGTTTGAACGTTGTTTTCAATTTAGACTTATTTATATTTTTTCGTTTGGGCTTGTATTATATTTTCCTTCGGGTTTATATGATCCGTTCATCCTATTTCGACTCTTCAAAATTCAAGAGTCTATCCTAAATTGAGGTAAATTATATGGCCTTCTAAATACCGTTTCGATTTCTAACATCACTGAAGATACATTCATTGTCGAAATCCGGATATGGTATACTCATTTTTGCACCTTTTGTTTGCGGTATACCATCTTTTCCGCAAGTTTATTGTTTTCTGTTTGGTATTAAATTAATAGTTAAGATCCATTTTGTTACATCTGGTGATCCGTTTATTTGGCAATCGCCAATGGCAGTCAGCAGGGTTTAAGAACATCCGTTGTTCGACCTGCCAGTCAAATGCGTTTTGTTAAAATATACTTTTTCACTTCTTTTGTCTTTTGGAAAATGTTGTTTGTGCTGTATGGAGACCCCTCTACCAAGAAATTTGTTTTGCATGCACACGTATAAAAATTGCGTTTTTATCCAACGCAATCATAGGTTTGTTTGAACGTTGATTTCAATTTAGACTTGTTAATATACATAACATATATACATTTTCAGATATGAACGTTTTAGATATACGTTTATTGTTCTAAAATCGCTGAATTTATCCAATAAATGATTTTACTACATTTTTTAAGATCGTTTTATATGACCGAAAACTTTTGATGATGAATGTAGGCTATTTAGTCCATAAGAGGAAAATGTATCTTTATATATGATATATGCCCTTCTTTTGTTATTTGCTGTTATGAGATGTTGAAATATTAAAAACACTACGGTCTTTCTATTACAAGGAGTAGATTGCCTGAGCGGAATATGTAACAACTTTTCGGAATGATAGGTCAGTTATTTTTTTCCGTCCAAAGGTTTTGATTCTCGGTTTTTATAATCATTGTTTATCCTACAATAGTGTCATATAAACGGAAACGTCTTGAAGAGGTGAAAGACATTGTTGTCAACTTGACAACAATGGGTCTTTACAAACGTCAAATTTTCAGTTCTTACTTTTGTCCACATGTTCGATTGTAGATCACTCAATTTGTTAGAATACAAAAATTCTCGATGCTATGATTTAGTATGAAATACAGATTGTTGTATTGGAATAAATGCAGATGACAGGTCCCTGCAGCCGAAACTAATGATATAGTTTGTATTACAAAAATTAAAGGGCACATTTCATTAACTTTAGATAAGAAATAAATACTCTATATTCATTAGATGTCGATGGATTTTTTTACCTAGCTTAATGAACATCGGGAAGTTACTCTTGTTCGTATGCCAAAAAGCTCGAACTGTATAAATAGTTGAATATTTATAATAAATTAACAATAAATGGTTTTAATCTTTAAACATGTTAATTGCAAATAATGTTTATTGAATTTAGAATGAACATAAATTTAGCCCTTATCGGTCCCTTTGGTCTAATGGTTTACAAATCGTTATGTAATTCTTTCATATAGTTGTCTCAAACATCTATGCTATTAATCTTACCTTTTGAAGATACAAAAAAAAGACGTATTTGCAAATAAATATAAAACATCGGAATAATATAAAACAAATTGATATATGTCAGATAGTAAGGTGAGTAATAAAAGGATTTACACAGTATATGTTAATTGTTCGTTCAAGATTGTCAAACATTGCAGGATGTCCGAAAGGTACATGGGGGAGGAACTGCACTGAGACATGTTCTCCCAAATGTATAGACCAACACTGTTATCCTGGAAATGGTTCATGTTTTCAGGAATGTGAGTATTTTAAAAGTAGATGCGTTCAACAAATCACAAACTTGTAATTTGTTAAATTATACAAATACTTGGGTATCCCATAAACTGGTTGTTGAACATATAGTGAAGCACGAAAAGTAATTTCTACATATCTAAAAAAAGAAAATGTGGTATGATTGCCAATTAAACATGTTTGCTGGAGCCAAACCCTCTCTCTTACCTAGGACAGTACCGCAAAAGAACAAACTATAAACATTAGTTGAAAAGGCTTAACTCATCAGATTTGATAAAGATTGAAACAATTTAACAAATAATTACGATTTACATTTTTGATCTCAATAATGTATCATATTTCACGTTCTACCTCAATAATAGATCATATTTCACCAATATGTCTGATGTTTTGTGTCATTTGATTGTTGTGTCGTTGGTGTGTACCTAAACAGTATGTAAAGTATATTTTGTGCAATTTCATTATATTTCTAATGCCTATAACCTATAAAAACCTTTAGTGGCTTGATGCATTAGCTGTGTATCATTGATAAAAATTACGCGTATGGTTTAGCTTTGCCATATATGCATATACCATATATAACGTATTTGTCACTTATCATGTTTTTATTTCAAGTAAGCATATATTTATATAAATTATGAGTTATTATAGACATGACATTTTATGTTTATTATGGAGCATTTTTTTTTTCTTTTACTCTAACTTTATTTGACTTTTAATCTTATTGTGAAGTTGTTGCATTATGCTAAGGTGAATTTTACTAATATATATATATATATATATATATACATAAATTACCTGTATAAAACTTAGATGTGGTATAATTGCCCATGATAAAACTTTCCAAAAGAGACAAAATGACGTAAAGTTAAGTGACCTTCAACAAATAGTAAAACATATACTACACAATAAACTATAACAGGCCCCGAAATTACAGATATTAACAGATCTAATCACAGTGTTGAATTTGTATCCTTTTGTAAAAAGTCTATTGAAAGAATCGATAAGTTTATTTAAAGAATCGTATCTAAATTTACGGGCTCGGTAAACAACAGCAACGTAAACATTCATGTAATAACTATGTCTTTATATAGTCAGAAATCAATATCATAATTGTGTTCACATTATAGTAAGTCATATCATTATGTCATGTATGTGCAAGAATGTTTATCTTTATTTGAAGAAACCTCTTTCTTATTTTTGATTACAAAAAGGCTGTGCAGTTGTAAGTAGTGCATTCAATGAGTTCAGAGAATACAACTTAAATGTTGATTGTAGCAACTTAATATTTGAAGGCAGTTTCTTTTTCTTTGTTTTTTTTTTTTTTAATTATTTGTATCATTCTTTTTTGTATAATCTATCTCTGTAATTTCATAGCTGCATATTGGGTTCAATATAACCTCGCTTGAAATGTAAATAATATACACAACCCTAATGACAGTAATCCTGTAAGCTAGTAAAAAGATCAAAATGGAACATTTGAAACTAGTTCCATTTTAGTTGGAGCTATACGTACAACAGTTCATCAAACCTTTAATGGTGAGAACTACTAATGAATAACATTAAGTATTGCAGTAGCTAACTTGGGAAATAATATAAGGGTAAACACACTATTTAAATGTTGCCAAGCATTCCATTCAGAATCGTATGTCTCCAACAGATCGTCATGGGCCGAATGACAAATCACGATAAGACAAATAAAAGTTCCCAAAACAATAAAACCAAAGGCCAAAGAATGATTTCCATGGCCCGAAGTTAAATCCAGGTATGGATACTTATGTTCTTAAGGGATACCCCTCTTCTTGTTTAAATAGGACAGCCTTCATGTTACTCGTTAAAAGTGCGGAGATAAATCGCATTCATTGATAAATTACGAATAAACGGATGATGCGCACCCATTTCAGTGCTTTCTACATTGTTTTCTAGAACAGTCAATGTTACAGTGGAAAAAAAGAGGCGAGAGTTACTAATGGGACATTAAATCTCATAAGTCGAAAATAAACTAACAACGCCATGGCAAAAAGAAAAGGACCAAAATAGAAACATAGGAAAGGAGAAAGGGACTGGTGATATAAAAATTGAGGACTATATCCATTAACGATTAATTGGTACACAAACACTTATTGGTATATAAACCTGTCTGCTGTGTACTTAAATGTTGCTATTGTCTATTATAAAACTTTTTCATACTGATTAAAATGTGTGTAAACTAAATCAATTTGAGTACTTATAATTGATATCTTAGCTATGGGAACTTTGATTGATTTAATACCTTCAAGTGAACTTTGAATTAGCATCCAGCAACCGAAAGTATTCTTCAATCATTTATCTGTTTCTTGTGTTCTTTTTTGCTGTTGATTGTGTGCTTAATACCGATTTGATGAACCAATCCCTGTTTAAAATGTTGTTCTTGTGTGTTCGCATGCTTTATATAAAAAAGAAGATGTGGTATGATTGCCAATGAGACAACTCTCCACAAGAGACCAAATGACACAGAAATTAACAACTATAGGTCACCGTACGGCCTTCAACAATGAGCAAAGCCCATAGCGCACAGTCAGCTATAAAAGGCCCCGAAATGACAATGTAAAACAATTCAAACGAGAAAACTAACGGCTTAATTTATGTACAAAAAATGAACGAAAAACAAATATGTAACACATAAACAAACGACAACCACTGAATTACAGGCTCCTGACTTGGGACAGGCACATACATACAGAATGTGGCGGGGTTAAACATGTTAGTGGGATCCCAACCCTCCCCCTAACCTGGGACAGTGGTGTAACAGTACAACATAAGAACGAACTATAAAAATCAGTTGAAAGAGGATTAACTCATCAGATGAATAAAAATACAAATAATACAAATACGAGTGGACGTGGCCGGGTACAGATCTGAGAGTACTCGCAGTTACTGACAGCTTGTTCAAAGCAACTAACAACTAATAAAAAAAATCATGCATCTTAGACTAAATTATCAATCCGTACACATCCAACATCCAATGGATTTAGAGTAAAAATGTCATTAACAGTCAGAGAAAAACATGACCTTGTGCAATGCCAAGATACAGGTATCGATAGATTGTAGATCCATGAATGTGTATATGTATATAACAATAATATTTTAGTTTGCTTTTTATTTACTGATAACAAAATCAATATTAGTACCAATAAAAATAGTATTTAATGATCTGATTACAGTGTTGAATTGGTAACCTTTTAGAATAAGTTTATTTAAAGGATCGATAAGTTTACCAGGATCGTTTCTAAATTTCCGGGCACGGTAAACAATATTGCCGTAAAAAAGAGGATGTGCAATCCCGTTTGAAATAAGTTTTCTACAGGTACAACAAAACTTCAAAACCACATCTTTATATCTATGGAAGAATTTAGTAAAGGTTTTAAGTAATTTGTGGTAACGAAATCCCTGGCTTAATAATTTACCAGTAATACATAGATTACGTTCGTTAAAATCAAAAACGTCACAACAGACACGGGTATAGCGAACGAGTTGTGAAATATAAACACCGTAAGATGGTGCCAAAGGAACATCACCATCCAAAAAAGGAAAATTAATAAGAGGGAACGAAAAATCGTCCCTTTTGTCGTAAATTTTAGTGTGGAGTTTCCCGTGTAAAACCGAAATATCTACATCTAGGAAAGGACAGTTGTTACCGTTTACATTTTTTTAAAGTAAGTTCCTTTGGGTAAATTTCGGCAGTATATTGAGATAATTCTTGATTATTTAACGAAAAAATATAAATCAAGAAAACGGTAATTGTTGTTGAATTTATCAATTAAGTGCAATTTAGACGGGTCTTTACTGAGTTTGATCATAAACTGTGATTCATAACAGTACAAAAACAAGTCTTATATTAAAGGGGCGCAATTAGTGCCCATAGGAATATCTACAACCTGTCGATAAACTTTGCTGCCGAAACGTACATAAGTATTATCAAGGAGAAAATTAACAGCTTCAATCATTTTATTGATTTCACTTCCGTCCAAAATTATGCGAGGAGATGAAAGATTATAAACAAATTTTGATTCCTGCAATATTCTTGATATGATTTTCAAATGCTAGAAATATGTTGTCCAGTTGTTGTGAAATGGCTTCTGTCGCTAATGTTACAGTTATAACTTTGAAACAGGCCGTTTGTTTTTTCTTTTTAACAGCTCCATTCTTTTAAACGCCTTGTCTTCTATAACATACTCTAATGTACAAGGTTTGCTCATTGGTGTATGTCGTACGGTGCCCCGATGTTGGTAACATATCTTGTCCTTTAGTCTTTTGCGGGAAATACCCAAATACATACACAAGTTACATTACACATAAGAAGTAAGTAGGATTCAGAGTAATCATAGGATAAATATTTTTTTTTTTTTATACTAGCAGAAATTGGAATTTTGATCCAGACTGAATAAAACCAAATACAAACAGAATTCCAATATCTTCTAGCAAAAAAAAAGTATCCAATTGTACTTATTTTCCAGGAGATCCCATGATATTTCTGAAAAAAATTCAGTTAGTATAATTTCAGATTGTAATAGATTGATGTTTAATTTCATTGACGTTTTTATTCATTTATATATTATTAATTATTAAGTGTTTGTGTTTCAAATTCTAAATTTCACTGGATAAATAGGTAAACAAAATTGATCAATTTATAAATACTGTAGTAAACAAATATATGGTTAGGTCTTATTTATATTACATTAAGTTTCTTTTGAGTGGTTTATATTTTACAACATTATCTTACAGCCCTTGGATGGTGTAAACTTCCCAAAAAAAACGTGTATGGTGTAATGGTGTATGGCATATGGTGCAATGGTCGAAGGTGTATGGTGCTATGGTGTATGGTGTAAGGGGAATGGTGTAATGGTATAACGTGCGATCGGGAATGGTGTGAATGAATGGTGTACGACATTTTAAACTATGCTAAATATTGATAAGAACTGATTTTTAATTGTATACATTAATTTACAATATTGTGATCAAAATTTGTTTTTTAAAATGAATAAATAATTTTGTAGTCGCACGCTTTCTTTGAAATTAAATTGTATTATGGTGTAATGTGTAAGGTGTATGGTGCAAAGGTGTAACGTGTATGGTGTAATGGCACAGAGTGTATGGTGTAATGGTGTTAGTGGGAAGTGTACACCATCCAAGGACTGTATTTTGTGTGTATCGTATTACTTGCGCAAATGAGATATGTTTTGCAACATAAACAACAGAAATTATATGTTTCCTGCACAGTTACAGACGGGAACCCACTGATGATCATTCCATTCAAACATGCTTCAATATGTGTGGATTTCGATCATAATGAGGGCTCGACGGGATAGAATCCAGTTAATCAAAAAGATCATCATCTGAACAAAATATCATTTTTTGATATCACATTTTAAGAATTTGAAACTGTATTTGTTCTAATATTCTTGTGAATTCGATCCAAATAGTTTTAACCTACTTGTATATTTTAAATATATGTGCAAGGAATGCTTCCAGCTCGTCATGGATCTTCTACGCTTTGCTGCCTTCAAATAATTGTTTAATTGATAACTATAAACAATTCAAAAATTGTTTTGGGTACTACAAATAAATGTAATCGTATTGACTCATCTAGTTCCACCAAGAATCATACTAGTATTAATCTAGATATCCAACATCCAAATTGTTATACAAGGAGGATTATAAATTCCAAAAATTTACCATTTGCATATTACATATCTATTGGCGATTTATACACGGTTCTCCAACTCAGAACAGTACAAAAACAAATGAGATAAAGTATAAATACTCTTCTATCACAGTTCATTTTCCAATTATAATATAAGATCAATATATATATATATATATATATATATATATATATATATATATCAGTTTTAACGACATTTAAGTACAAATATATTTCAGACTCAAAATTATTTATATTTTTGGAATTAAAAATTAAGTATAGACAGTTCTGAAATTTAAAATGTTAAACATTTGACTTAACTCGAAAGTCTAAGTTTTAAATTTTTGAAATTCTATTTTAACTTTTCAATCGTAAAAATTTTAAGTTTAAAGTCAACATTCAGAGTTAAAAAAGATAATATGAATTATGGCTGAATAGAAATTTTGCAGAAAATTCGAGCCAACACAGAAGAAAACTAGATGCAATTAGCTGCGTTTGAAACTTAGCGACTTTAATCCAAGACCTACCGAAAAAAAAAAAAAACTGACTGTCAAAAAGTAAAGAACGATTTCTTTAAAGTGAACTAACTTTAACTACACTGACAAAGCCACCATACTCCTCTTCGTGGAAATAAGATGGTAGAATGTAGTGAATTTTATTGACATTTTTGCTTAAATACTCAATATATTTGTTAAGTACATTAATTATCATTTTATGAATAATAATTGTATTGTTAAGTTTCAACATTTTAAAGTGCAGATTTTGTTGTATCATACTACCAAAGAGCCCGTAAGTTAATGCATTTCCCTGTGCACATTTAATTGTTCAATACATAACTTGGTGTTTTAATTAATTATATATTTTGTGCTTTTCTTTCAAGATTTCATAGCACAAAATGTATTGTATTATAAGTAAATAGCAAGTCAAAGCAATTTCCTGTATAAAAATTCAAGATTTTATACTTTATTCGGCCATTACATGTACATGATTAGTGCATACATTAACGCGTCAATTTTTACGATTGTAAAATTGTTTCGTTGTACATCACTGCTGTGTTTATATGAGTGTTCTTTGAGGAATTAAATAAATTTATTTCTGATATTGACTTTTTTTCTAAACTATCACTCAAAAGTTAATGAAAACTGGATTCACTGTAACTCTAATTACAGGTTAATTTTCTGTATCCTTATAGCTTAAAAATCGCGTTTCTCTAAGGAGAAATTATTTACCTGTATACAAAAATATCAAATGTTGAAGAAACGTGATCACACCTTATTGGTCATGTTAGTTTTCAAATTTTATCAAATATAGCTAGTAAGTAATGCAAATTTTGAAAGAGTACAACTTCGCAAAGCTAGAAATAAGAAAATACTTTATTTCGAATGGTATAGTGTATGTCATTTGCAAAAAAAGATAATAAATGAAAACATAACCTTTAGAAAAATTATTTGAAAGTCAAGAAAGTAAAAAAGGATGTTTAAATACATATTAATTTGATTGCTCTTATACCTTATGAGCTATATGACTAAATGGGGCCTAAACATAATAGTAAAATTCATCATAGGTCAACATTGCCTCAGGGAGTTGGAATTTTAGTTTCTACATTTTTCAACGGACACTTAATTAGAGTTATAATTTTGCTCACATCAAGCTAGGTATATATTTTAATCAATTATAGTACCATAATGTAATGCAATAACAGGTGAACAATTTTGAGGTCCTTAATCGTTTGTGATTTTATCATACAAATTGTGGCGATTCGTAGTTGCTTTGATAAATTTATAGTTATTAACAATGCTGTTAAGTAAAATCCCAAAAAATTCGGTGATAAATCAATCCTTTGCCCATAAATTTCAGGTAAAGTAAGCTATGCAAAGGTTGAGTTTACCACACGAAGCGTGTCGATTCAAATTAAAAGATGTTTACTAAGGATATATCTTCACCTAACAAAGAAAACACACATTTGTTATCCATAATTGCATTATGTTAACATAATATTTCAGTAAAAGCTAGAAATAATCAATCTACACTATACGTTTAGTAGATTCGACATGTGCATGCGTAATTCTGAATTTTATTCTTGAAAGGAAAGGAGTGATTTCTATCACCTCAGCACATTTTTTTTTTTGCCTTTAAAATTATAAAAAAAAAAATGTTTTGACGGAACAAACAGCATGCGTGTGAAGATACCCGAGAGTACATTTCATTGTAATATATCTTTACAAAACGTTGCAATTATATATTCACATTGCACTATTGAATTACAAGTGTATGCTTGACTGGTATAGGAGAAAATATGTCCTTATTTTAAATGATGTAGAATACCTTGAATCCTGATTTAAAATTAGTCAGATTACTTGGACCCATCATTTGTGTATTAAGTTTTTTTTTTATCATATGATTATATATTCGATAAAAGGTATGTCTTCTTTCATTATGTACTAACTAACAAGTTATGGGTTTTACATAATGCAGTAAACCTAACCGAACCTTATTTTATAATAGAACGTACTGAATAAATGCGTTTGATAGAATTTGCTTTTTGAAAATGTTTCTTCATCTTTTTTTATTTTGTCAAAATGAGTAATGTATGTTGATGGTAGTAATCGATTCGGTGTTAAATATACGTTAAAGGTTGCTTTTTGTAAAAACAACTGTTTGACAAGCAACGCCCCTTTTGGGGAGATTCATAGATATTTGTTTTGTTTACCTACTGGTTCCCAGATATGATCTCTATGTTTCATATCATAGAGACACAACTTGGGAATGTTACCGTGAAAATACACATGGATAGCCGTTATCCAAAATGAAGGGAGGGGTAGTACAGCATTTTAGTATAAGTTTAAACTCTTAAAAGTTAGAGGCATATAAATGTTGAAAATATGCCACACAGCCCTATGTTTTGACCTTTGATTTAAATAGTAGTGCAAATAAACTTTCCATTCTAAAACATATTTTTTTACGAAACTTCATAGTAAAAGTGGCACAGTTTTAGCCGTAAAGGAGTTCCAATGGGAAATTGCATTGGCTATATTTATAGAATAGCAACCTATAGAAACGATATCTTTATATATTTCTTATTTATTGAATTTGCATACACGAACAAGTATCAGAAAGTATATTCTATTGTATACTATTTATTTCAAAACGGGTGGGGAGTGCTTAGAACCAAGGTTTATGACACTCTAGAGTCTCTATCAACAGTGGATTGTTATGAAACTCATACACTGTCATGTGATATCGTTTATATTGCCATCACTTGGAAATGATGACATATTCATACTTGAATATCATGGGTACATCCAGAGATGATTTTATACACCGGCATTAAAAGACACAGAGTCACCTTTTCCCGAATGTGACCTACCGAATTAGACTTATTTCCGGGGTTGAACTAACATGTGCAAAACGACGGGTGCCACAAGTGGAGCAGGATATTTTTACCCTTCCTGAGCACCATAGATCATCCCCAGTTTTTGTTGGGGTTCGTGTTGCTCAGTCTTTAGTTTTCTATGTTGTGTTTTGTGTACTATTGATTGTCTGTTGGTCTTTTTCTTTTTTAGCCATGGCGTTGTCAGTTTATTTTCAACAAATGAGTTTAAATGTCCCTCTGGTATCTTTCGCCTTTCTTTTACGTATATATAACTATTGCTTTGATCATAAGATTCAATTCATTTTTGTAAAAAAAATATAAGTCAGAAGCAGCAATTCGGCAAGATGGATTACTGCCTTATACTGTCTTAGAGAAAATACTAATCGACAAAGACCCAGTGGATAGTGTTACCTGTTAACAAGATTAAAAATAACCACCCCTCTATAATGTCCGATGATGTAATAAATGCTGTCCTTGCATTGAAGTGTGTTTTCTTTGAAAACAAGTTAAATTAAGCAATGGTAATGTTTATTTTGTGTCATTGAAAACGGCAAGAATTTAAAAATGTTTATTCAGTTCTTTTAACCCAACAAAAGTGCTTTGTATACTCTAACAAGGTAACAAACCGATCGACCAAAAGTTATAAATCACACACATCTTCAATTTTAACCTGTTTACAACGGTAAAAGCATAAGCACGCATGATGTTTAGCGCGTTTTTAATGTAACATCAATCTAGTACGTACATTCAATGTACTGGATTTTTCTGGTTTGGTGTAAGGTGATATGCATTACCTGTTATATATTTAATATACTAAGTAAATAAGAGATGCACATATAGTTGTTGCTTTATCTAAATATGAAATATACTTTTTTATATAGACGGCCGTTCGGGTACCTATACATGTAGCTTACATCTACGTTCATTTGCCGACCAACGTTAAACAAAGTTCATATGTGAATCCATTTCTCGTTCAAACATCTTATACACAGCATATTAATCATAGTAATGTATTACTTTTACTACATAGAAAGGATAGACTACACATATCACAGTACTCTGACCTTTACGTAATTGTAATAAATAAAACAAAATCAGCACTTATCATATAAAAAGGAATTAAATAAATTTGTTTTATTCGTGTTCGAATCATTTTATAGATTGTCTTGTTTTATGATGTAATACTTATGAAGATGAAAGGTTTACATATTCTTGACGAATTACATTTTGCGATATTTTTTTACTTTTCGAAACTAAATGCACAACGTAGTTGGCTTATTTTGTTTTCTAGTTCTGAACTTGTTCTACAATTCTCTTGTGTATCTGATGTTTTATGGAAAGTATTTCTATTTGTATTATAGGTTTTTCTTTTTCTTTTTTGTTTTGTTTTGCATTTGAACATTTTACGTACAACATTCGGGCTTTCTTTGAAGTATCAAACTCAAACCCTCACTGTTGTAATACACTGTTGTAGTTAGTTGTAAATTCAACATTTTATTTATGACTACATTTTTTTTAAAGAACATTTTAAAAACCATCACTAAATTGTAGTCCTGATTTTAATAAGAAATAATTTAAGTATTTTATATTCGAAAGACATCCGTTTTTACCTAGTAAATGCTTTTGTTCTACCTGGAAATGATCTCTTATGGATATTTGGTTTCAGTAATGAATTTCCGTCAACATTTGATAAAAACTTCCTTTTTTATTATAAAATATCGTTGGATTATTAAAGTGATTGTTCATTACCAGCGTTTTCATATGCATATATCGAAATATTAAATTGACATAAGGCTTTTTGTTTTTGTTGTATATGTTTTATTCTGCAAGTAACAGTGTTAGATTCTATACTGTAAATGGTAGCACGTGAATGGACAATATCTGTGAAAAGAGGACTTATTTGTTTAAGGCATTTAACAAATGAATAAATAGAAAAATAAATATGTAGTATAAAATAATAATTATAATAATGAAAAAGAAGCAGTGACACTTTTATGTCCCTTCCTTTTTTTTGTGTTAACTTTTTAAATCACAACTTATTTAAAAAAAACTAACATATCAAACCTAAACTTTAGAAATATAGATGCACGGTTCCATCAACTACGCTAGGGTTATGTGTCTCTACACATATGTTGGTTATATTTCTTTGACGTAGATTATACATCGCTTATTATTCACAATTACCAACCATATCCAAAATGACGTAAATTTAAGTATCTATATGCTACCGTCAACAACTAGCAAAACCAACACCATTAAATCATCTATAATAGGCTCCAAAACATTGTGTACAATTCAAATGAAACAATCAACGGCTTGAATAATGACAAACTAGTTTGAGCCCAACACAAATTCAACAGACAGCAACCACAGACCATTAACAACCTGTATTTTGACTACACGACGATTGTAGAACAAGATCTTAGAATTCTACCTTTAATACGTTACATTATTTTGTTTTCTACCTTAGTTCCTTTTGTAACTGCAGGATATAACATCAGCTGATATGTTATTGGTGTTACTGATCCACACAACTTGTCAAGTGATTGTTACAGCTCAACGTAAGTTAATGTTGTATATTCAAGCGTTTTTTTTTTCTATATGTCATATGCCAATTAATTATATTTACCCTTCATTTTAAGCGGAAATACTACTAGGACATGCAACACCCTATATAATAGTAATGGTACAATTGATTATTTAAAATTGGAAATGGGGAATATGTC